CTCGGCTCACTGCAAGCTCCGCCTCCCGGGTTTACGCCATTCTCCTGCCTCAGCCTCCCAAGGCTGGGACTACAGACGCCTGCCACCTCGCCTGGCTAGTTTTTTGTATTTTTTAGTAGAGACGGGGTTTCACCGTGTTCGCCAGGATGGTCTCGATCTCCTGACCTCGTGATCCGCCCGTCTCGGCCTCCCAAAGTGCTGGGATTACAGGCTTGAGCCACCGCGCCCGGCCTTATTTTCAACTTTTTAAGATAACTTTAAGTATAGGGCTTATATGCAATACAGATTTGAGTTTTACTTTGTAAACCAGTCTGATTATCTTTTCATTTTAATAGGTGAAAGTCTAATTACATTTCTGATAAATTTGGGCTTAATCCTATATATTGTCTTATGTTATATTTTCTGGGTTTTATAGTTTTTAAAAAGCACTTTCAGGCTGGGTGTGGTGGCTCATGCCTGTAATCCCAGCACTCTGGGAGGCTGAAGTGGGTGGATTACGAGGCCAGGAGTTCGAGACCAGCCTGGCCAACATGGTGAAACCCTGTCTCTACTAAAAATACAAAAATTAGCCAGGCGTGGTGGTGTCTGTGTGCCTGTAATCCCAGCTACTCGGGAGACTGAGGTAGGAAAATTGCTTGAACCCAGGAGGCGGAGGTAGCAGTGAACCGAAATTGTGCCACAGCACTCCAGCCTGGGCGACAGAGCAAGACTCCATCTCGGAAAAAAATAAAAAAAAATAATAATAATAAATAAAAATAAGAAAATGAGCCTGTCATGGTGCCGTGTGCTTATTGTTCCAGCTACTCAGGAGACTGAGGTAGGAGGGCCACTTAAGCCTGGGAGTTCAAGGCTGCAATAAGCTATGATAGCGCCACTGGACTCCAGCCTAGGCGAGGTGACAGAGCAAGACCCTGTCTCAAAACAAAACAAAACAAAAAACACAATGTGTACCTTGAAGTAAAATTGCTGGAACATGGAAGTGCATGTTCTAATTTACAAGATACTCAACTTGTTCTGGGAAGTGATTGTGTCAGTTTATGCTCGTACTAACAGTGACAGTGTCTGAGAATGGCTTTTCCTTCCTCTCTTGATATTCTTCAACTTAAGTTTTTGATATTGTCCTTAATATTGTCTAACTGAAATTTCTGCTGATACGAGGAAGGGAAATGCTCTTATGGTTTTAATTTACTAGTGATATTATTGAGCATCTGTCCAGGAATGCATTGTCTATAAAGTTTTTCTCTTCTGTGAATTACCTGCTCATACATTTTTTTGTTTTGTTTTTTGAGGCAGGTTCTTGCTCTGTTGCCCAGGCTGGAGCGCAGTGGCATGATCTTGGCTCACTGCAGCCTCTACCTCCTGAACTCAAGTAATCTTCCCACCTCAGCGTGTGCACCACTGCACCTGGTTAGATTTTTTGTTTATTTTTCTTGTAGAGATGAGGTCTCACTGTGTTGCCCAGGTTGGTATAGAACTCCTGGGCTCAAACGATCCTCCCTTCTCGGCCTCCCAAACTGTTGGGATTGCTGGCATACTTGCATTTTGGAGAATGTGTCTTTTTCTGGACATTATTCATTTTTCTATAATACATGTTTTAGTTGTTTTTTTCTCAGATTGTCCCTTGCCTTTTGACTTTGTGGTGTTTTCTCCCACACGCAAGTTTTCAAGGTTGATGTCAAATTCATTCCCTTCAACCAGATGTGGTCAGGATGGTAGTGAGGAGGCTGTGCTCCCCTTCACTGTGTTCTCTGTGTCTTGCAGGTTTTAATGCTCTAAGTGTGTTTCTCTGGATATTTTTTCTTGACCTTTTCCACAATGATAAATAATTTTACAAGTCAACCCTGGTTGAGTTCTTTCACAGAGATTTTGGTGGAAGAAAGGTATAAAATGCAAGGGCTTAGGTCCTATTATTGGTTTTGGAATGTTCTTTTTTTGTTCATAATTTTCTTTTATATTATTGATTACTTTTGTCCAAGTTTCTTTAAATTAATTTTCTTAAGTTTGGAAATAAAATCCTTACGAAATTCTGGTTGAAACTGACCTGATATAAATTAACCTGTGGTAAAAATGTATGCATATATTTTTTTTTTGTTTTCTTGCAATTATATATTACATTCATTCATTTAAATCTTGCTTAGAAGAATTTCATAACATTTTATAGGACTTTTTTGTGTTCTTGCCAACCATACTCCCTTCTCTCTTCCGATTACTTACATAGCAGTTGTCATCTCAACTCACTGCCTTCACCTCAGGTTCTCTTCCACTGTCTTATCACTTGCAATCTGGCTTCTACCCCTCTAGTTTAGCTAAATGCAGGTACCCTTTTTCATTTTCATATTCCTCAGCTTATTGAGATGTATAAGATAGTTCTTACCATTATCCATTTTCTCTTTTCAAAACTCTGTTCTCTCCCGTTAACAGACTCTTTCCCCTGTTTTTCTGTTGTTTCCTCATTTACCATAAAATCTTTGTCATATTAATGTGGATCTCTGTCCAGTTCTGTCTAGTAGAACTTTCTGTCTTTTCTCTTTTTCTTTTTTTTTTTTTTTTTTGAGACAGTCTCGCTCTGTCGCCCAGGCTGAGTGCTGTGGCATGATCTCAGTTCACTGCAACCTCCGCCTCCTGGTTCAAGGGATTCTCGTGCCTCAGCCACCTGAGTAGCTGGGATTATAGATGTGAGCCACCGTGCCCAGCTAATGTTTGTATTTTCAGTAGAGATGGGGTTTCACCATGTTGGCCAGGCTGGCCTTGAACTCCTGGCCTCAAGTGATCCACCAGCCTCGGCCTCCCAAAGTGTTGGGATTACAGGCGGGAACCCCCATGCTTGGCCTCTAGTAGAACTTTCTGTGATGATGGAAATCTATATGTGTGCTTTCTAATACAGTAGCCACTACCCACATTTGGCTTTGGGTACATAAAATGTGGCTAGTGTGACTAAGGAACTGACTTTTTAAAATGTTATTTAAATTCAAATTGCTGCATATACTTAGTGGCTACCATATTGGATAGCATACAGTCTTTTAATCAAGGGGATCCAATCTGTAAGGCTATGTGTAAAGATAGTGGTTGGAGCTTCAGGCACCTCAGAGTCTCCCATGTTGGAAAATATCTGTAGTCTTCTCCCATCAGGCTTCTTTTATTCAGCATTAAGTTAGTTATTGTATAAATCTGCTATTTGCCTGGAGTAAAGACTTATTTTTGGTAAGATGGAGTATAGTGGCTTCAGGTGATGCCTACAAGAGATGAGATCCAGGCAAGTGAGTGAGGGAACAGAAGTAGTTGTATTTCTAGGGAAAGAATGAATGGTATGGACCTAACAAAGGATAGGCGAACAAGGCCTCTCAGGCCTGGGTATAGACAGGTAAGAAAATCCAAGGCGGTGCTTAGGACAGACTGATAGGGATGAGGTTTTCCTTGGGTGAAGGGTGTATTGGAAAGAAGAAAGATACAGATGAATAATATTTCCTTTTCAATTTTGTTCTGACCTATACTGGAGACAGCTTTACTTTTCAACAGATGAGAAACTGTTATGGCAAAGACTGTATCTATTTAACCCCGAAATGCCAAAGTATGTCGTTCTAAAATAATCCCTAACCACATCTAAACATGAAAATGTCGGCCGGGCGCGGTGGCTCAAGCCTGTAATCCCAGCACTTTGGGAGGCTGAGACAGGCGGATCATGAGGTCAGGAGATCGAGACCATCCTGGCTAACACGGTGAAACCCCATCTCTACTAAAAAATGCAAAAAACTAGCCGGGCGAGGTGGTGGGCGCCTGTAGTCCCAGCTACTCGGGAGGCTGAGGCCGGAGAATGGCGTGGACCTGGGAGGCGGAGCTTGCAGTGAGCTGAGATTCGGCCACTGCACTCCAGCCTGGGCGACAGGGTGAGACTCCGTCTCAAAAAAAAAAAAAGAAAATGTCTCTGTCACTGAATAGTCACTATATTTTGGAATCTTGATTATAGCCTTGAACACCAAGCTCATATTCTCCAAGAATTATTCCTTAAGTAAGCTAGTGAGTTTTGATTTTTTTTTTCCTGACACTTATACCTGTAATAATCTATATCATATTAGCTTATCCTTCATTATGTGCCATATGGAATTATCATCTGCACAGGCTTGAGCTCTCAGAATTTACAAAAGGTAGAAAGACCTTGTGTCAGGCTTTCCCGCCTTTAGTAGGTACTTTGGACCTACTAATAGGTTCTATGTATTTGAACTTATTGGCTGATTATTGTGGTGTGAAAAGGACTTTCTCATTTTTTGAGATCATCTTCTAAAAAATAGTTTTCTTTCTACCTTACTCCAACCAATATCCTCTCCTGAAAGTATCACGTATCTTCTCAATAGGCATCATTTTCCCTGAATGATGAGAAAAGCTGATGGACCTAACAAAGGATAGGTTTATTTTAGTCACTGAGAAAAAATATATGTAAATTTTCCCTGGACCCTGATAAAAATCTTAGAAGTTGTTGAACCGCATTAGTGGGAAAAGATGCCGTGAGATTAATCTGGCAGCAGTCATCCATTTAACAACATGTTGACACTGTCCAAGGCATTGGGTGCAACAGTAGAAGAAAAAGGAGTGAACATCAGTCCCTGCCCTCATGAAGCTTTCAGTCTTATGAATACCAGTGCCAGATGGACTGGAGGCTTTAAAGACTAGAGGCAGGGAAACTGGCTGTGATCTAATCAGACATCCTCAATTCTTTATCTTGTTAGCATTTAGCTTTGCCTGCCTTTTGATGACCTGCATTTTACCTGTTTCCCCAACTACCACCTTCTACTACCATCAACACATATACCTTCCCTTCTCAGCTCTCTTTATTCTTTGTGCTTCCATTGTCTTTTGATCATATTGCATGGCCATATTTGGGCTATTAGAACCACATACTTTCTACCCTCCTTCCCCCCAGTTAAATTCTTCCATTTCTTCTATAACAATTTTCTTCCTTATAGCAAAAGAACAAAGGAGACATTTGCTTTCTTGATATTTTTCAGACTGGGAGTCTTGGTGTGAAATCAAGGAATTATCTCCAAAATGGTTCATTGATGAAGATGAAATATCCCAGGAGATGATAATGGAAAGGCTAACAAGTCATGGCCTTGAATGCTCCAGTTTCAGAGAAGCCTGGAAATGTAAGGGTGAATTTGAGCTACATGAGGGAAATGCGGAGAGGCATTTCATGCAAGTGACAGCTGTTAAGGAAATCGCTACTGGGAAAAGACACAATGAATTTAGTAATTTTGGGAGAAGCATACCCCGGAAATCAGTATTTTTAACACAACAGAAAGTTCCTACCGTAGAGCAAGTACATAAATTTGATATTTATGATAAACTCTTCCCCCAAAATTCAGTCATAATTGAATATAAAAGACTCCGTGCTGAGAAGGAATCTTTGATAGGTAATGAATGTGAAGAATTCAACCAGAGTACATACTTTAGTAAAGATACAGGAATTCCTCTTGGTGAGAAACCTTATGAAAGTAATGATTTTTCAAATCTCTTAACTTTCCACTCATTACTTGCTCAACATCAGACAACTCATTTTGGAAAATTACCCAATGGATACAGTGAATGTGGTGATGCCTTTAGCTGTTACTCATTCTTTACTCAACCTCAGAGAATTCACAGTGGAGAGAAACCATACGCATGCAATGACTGTGGAAAAGCCTTTAGCCATGGCTTCTTTCTCAGTGAACATCAAAGGACTCATATTGGGGAGAAGCCTTATGAATGTAAGGAATGTAACAAAGCCTTCAGACAGAGTGCTCACCTTGCTCAACACCAGAGGATCCACACTGGAGAGAAACCGTTTGCATGCAATGAATGTGGGAAGGCCTTTAGCCGTTATGCCTTCCTTGTTGAACATCAGAGAATTCACACAGGTGAGAAACCATATGAATGTAAAGAATGTAACAAAGCCTTCAGACAGAGTGCTCACCTTAATCAACATCAGAGGATTCACACGGGAGAGAAACCCTACGAATGTAATCAGTGTGGAAAAGCCTTCAGCAGACGCATAGCCCTTACTCTGCATCAAAGAATTCACACAGGAGAGAAACCCTTCAAATGTAGTGAATGTGGGAAGACCTTTGGCTATCGCTCACACCTGAATCAACATCAGAGAATTCATACCGGAGAAAAGCCCTATGAGTGCATCAAATGTGGGAAGTTTTTTAGGACTGACTCACAACTTAATCGACATCATAGAATTCACACTGGAGAGAGACCATTTGAATGCAGTAAATGTGGGAAAGCCTTCAGTGATGCTTTAGTCCTAATTCACCATAAGAGAAGTCATGCAGGAGAGAAACCCCATGAATGTAACAAATGTGGGAAGGCCTTCAGTTGTGGCTCATATCTTAATCAACATCAAAGAATTCATACTGGAGAGAAACCCTATGAATGTAATGAATGTGGGAAGGCTTTTCATCAGATCTTGTCCCTAAGACTACACCAGAGAATTCACGCTGGAGAAAAACCTTATAAATGTAATGAATGTGAGAATAATTTTAGCTGTGTCTCAGCCCTTAGACGACATCAAAGAATTCATAATAGAGAAACGCTCTGATTATAACAAGTATAGGAAAGAAAACATTTGGTTACCACTCAGTCCTTATTGAATATTAGTGAGTTCTTCTTGGCTAGTTATTCTTTGAATGTAGTTCATATTTCAGATCATGAGTATCCATTATTTGAAGTAGCTCAGTAGTAGACATCTGTTACTTTTTTTTCTTTTTTTTAGACAGAGCCTCGCTCTGTTGCCCAGGCTGGAGTGCAGTGGTGCAATCTTGGCTCACTGCAGCCTCTGCCTCCTGGGCTCAAGCAATCCTCCTGCCTCAGCCTCCTGAGTAGCTGGGATTACAGGTGCCTGTGACCATGCCTGGCTAATTTTTGTATTTTTAGTAGAGACAGGGTTTCACCATATTGGTCAGGCTGCTCTCGAACTCCTGACTTCAGGTGATCCGCCTCCCAAAGTGCTGGGATTATAGGTGTGAGCCACCATGCCCGGCCACATCTGTTACTTTTTGATCTGTTCTGTACCTGGCTTACCCCACCCTCAATGCATATGATTCTGGTGAAACTGTTAATCAGGGACAGTAGTGGATTGGTCACAGGCTGGCCAATTATTTCCCCCAACCTAGTGATAAGGGATTGGCAAATGGCCCTGTCTGGATCAATGAAGTCCTTTGCGAGTATTCCTATGGGTAGTAAGATATTTTTTTCTGGAATTGCAAATTTCAAGGATTTAATAAGATTAAAAACTCACCAGGAGCCTTTTTGCCACTCATGAGGAAAGCTTTCCCAAAGAGAAATCTAACAGAGGAAAATGGAGACGAGAGACAGAAATCTGATGATATTGTTTGATCTCCTGGATCCAGTCATTCCTGACAGCTACACCATCCTTTTTCATTTTTTGTGATCCAATAAATTTCCTTTTATTTATTTTTTCTTAATTTGGATTAGATTTTTGCCTCATGGAATTAGAGTGCTGATTCACACATTCTATGTTTGCTATACATAAGAGAAAGCCTTACTATTTTTCGTGACATAATTAATTATACTGAGGAGAAACCTTATGATATAACAAGTTTATCAAAGTTGAATACACAGCCTTCATAAAACTGAGATAATTGTTACATTTTATTTTATTTTATTTTATTTTATTTTATTATTATTATTTTTTGAGGTGGAGTCTCGCTCTGTCGCCCGGGCTGGAGTGCAGTGGCCGGATCTCGGCTCACTGCAAGCTCCGCCTCCCGGGTTTACGCCATTCTCCTGCCTCAGCCTCCAGCTGGGACTACAGGCGCCCGCCACTGCGCCCGGCTAATTTTTTGTATTTTTTAGTAGAGACGGGGTTTCACCGTGTTAGCCAGGATGGTCTCGATCTCCTAACCTCGTGATCCGCCCGTCTCGGCCTCCCAAAGTGCTGGGATTACAGGCTTGAGCCACCGCGCCCGGCCTAATTGTTACATTTTATTTGTCGATAAAATTATTTTAGTGTTTCTTAGTTTTTTTCACAATATGAATATTTTAAAAATCACCAAGTAAAATTCTTCAACAGGCTTCCCCTTAAGGAGTTGAAATCATTTGTCACAGTGACTCACCATGTACCTGTAAAGAGAGAATGGAAAGCTAAGGGAATAATGGTTTCATTTGTTTAATGAATGACTCTTCATCTTCAAGGAATTACTTGATTTTCTTCTTTCAGTATGGGTCTAAAGATATTCTGTGGCAGAATATAATAAAATTAAATTGTAAATGAGGTCTTTTGAGGGTGGGCTGTAAATTTGGTTTAAGGCTGGGTGCGGTGGCTCACGCCTGTAATCCTAGCACTTTGGGAGGCCGAGGCGGGTAGATCACCTGAGTTGGAAATTTGAGACCAGCCTGACCAACATGGAGAAATCCCGTCTCTACTAAAAATACAAAATTAGCCGGGTGTGGTGGCGCATGCCTGTAATCCCAGCTACTTGGGATGGTGAGGCAGGAGAATCACTTGAACTCAGGAGGTGGAGGTTGCAGTGAGCCAAGATCGTGCCGTTGTACTCCAGCCTGGGCAACAAGAGCAAAACTCCTTCTCTAAATAAATAAGTAAATAAATTTGGTTTAAGAAGTTTATGGATAACTTCTTTGCAGCTAGAGATATCAGACAAAGATATGGCTGGCAGAAAGAATGAGTCATTTTTAACAAATGGTAAAACTAAAGTAGTTAATGCCTAAAATTTTTAGAGACTATATCATTTCCATTATTGGGAGTAATGAGGAACATGAAAGTGTGGGGCAATACATTTCTTTTTTATCTGAATGGATGTAGGGAAATAAACTGGTGCTTTGGCAGCTGGGCCATCTTGAACAGTCAGAACCAGTAAGAATACTGGGCATTGCCTGAAGAGCGTCTATAAAAACAGAACAAATGAAAGAGGAAAGAATGAAGGATTTATATGTGAAACAGTGAAACAGTGACTACTACTCTCATAATTTGTTTAATATTCAGTTTATACTTATATCTAATATAATCTGAAAATTATTCATAAATATTCAAATTCCCTTTAACAGATTAAAATACAGATTTTGTGACTCAGTACTTCAAACCTTGAACAGAAACAAATATGATTATAAAATATTTCCAAACTTATGTTACATCTAATCTGAAAAATATTAATAGACTTAATTCATGTCATCATTTCTTTATTTTTTTAAACTATTTCCTGGAGATATAGGGATATTTATTTTTATAATTTCTAAGCACTGAGTAATAATTTATTTCAGAAAGTTTCACAAGGTTACAGTAAACTTACCAAGCTTGAAGAATGACTCAGACCAGTAAGAAGAGTCTGAGATACTCACTAATTGATTTTTTTTTTTTTTTTTTTTTTTTTTTAGACAGGTTCTCACTCTGTTACCCAGGCTGGAATGTGGTGACAAAATCATGGCTCACTGCAGCCTCAACTTCCTGGGTTCAAGCGACCCTCCCACCTCAGCCTCTTGAGTAGCTGGGACCTCAGGTGTGCTCTACCACACCTGGCTAAGTTTTGCATTTTTTTGTAGAGATGGTTGCCCAGGCTGGTCTCGAACTCCTGGCCTGAAGTGATTTGCCCATCTCAGCCTCCCAAAGTGCTGAGAATATAGGGATGAGCCACTGTGCACAGCTACTAATTGATATTTGATCTAAGTTTGGCACCTGATTTCATCCTCCAGAGTGATGTAAACCTAAGCCACTGGTTCATTCTCTGTTTATACAATTAAACTTCACTTGTAATGTTGATGAAATCTTTTATACCCATGTCTTTAGCATAAGTGTTTGTATTTTACAATCTGATGTTTCTCCTCACAATGAGGTACTAAATTTTGTTTCTCTTCAACTGTACAACCCATTGTCTTGTGATATATTGACCTGATCTCTTAGGATTAGTGAAAATTTATGCTTTATTAATATTTGATTATTATTGGGATCATCTAGAGGTTTCTGTTTATGTGTGTGTATGTGCATCTGAAGATGTGTATTTTATTTAAATTTTTTGTATTAAGTGCCTACTGTGTGCCAGGCTTTGTTCTAATCTAAGTAACAGAGGTACAGCAGTGAACCAAACAAAGATTCCTGCCTTCAGAGAGCTAATTTCTAATGAGGAAGACAATGAAAAAGATATGTAAGTAAAATATATAATAGTTAAGAAAGTAAATTCCAAGATGAAAAAGGTGAAGGAAGGGATGGGGAGCCAGGGAAGGCCCCTTCTGAAGTTAACTTTTGAGTGAAGAGAGAGAGATCTATGTATCTATGTATCTATGTATCTATGTATCTATGTATCTATGTATCTATCTATCTATCTATCTATCTATCTATCTATCTATCTATCTATCTACCTACCTACTCATCCATCCATCTATCCAAACTACATATATATACCCACCTATAGACACATTTATATGCCTTTATAACTAATGGGAAGGAAATCTTTAGTGGTATATATACATTTACACTTTATACTTACTAATTTATTCTCATTTTTTTTTTTTTGAGACGGAGTCTCCCTCTGTCGCCCAGGCTGGAGTGCAGTGGCGCAATCTCGGCTCACTGCAAGCTCCGCCTCCCGGGTTCACGCCATTCTCCTACCTCAGCCTCCCGAGTAGCTGGGACCACAGGCGCCCGCCACTGCGCCCGGCTAATTTTTTTCTATTTTTTAGTAGAGACGGGGGTTCACCATGGTCTCGATCTCCTGACCTTGTGATCCACCCGCCTCGGCCTCCCAAAGTGCTGGGATTACAGGCGTGAGCCACCGCGCCCGGCCAATTTATTCTCATTTTATCATGTCTACATATTTGTGTGTTACATTTTAACACTTGACTCAGATGAATTTATGGCCTTTTAAGATCTAAACAAATTTCACTTAATTATAGTGTATTTAATGTTGATGCTTAATTGTCAGAATTTAGCCACTGGGGATTACTTTCAGAAAACCCCTTGCTCCCTCCAGTACATGGATTTTGGACAAAATTGCTGCCATTATGATTGAGCCCCTTTTAGAGATCGCTAGGGAAAAAAATGTTTCCTTTTTAGAACATGGTTTCATGCTGATTTCTAGTTCTGTCTCAATATATTTTGTTATACACTACTAAGATTTTCAACTTTATTCACAAAACTCGAGACAGGGAGGTAATAGATTGGATGGTGGAGAAAAGTAGATTGCTGGAAGCCATGAGGTGGTGATAACTTCACTAACAGAGGAATAAGTCACCTTTCTGGACAGCTTTCTTAGGCATTTACACAGTAATTCCTCACATATTCTTCGAGAAAGAGTAGTGAAAGGATCAGCTCTTTGGATATTGGGACAAGTATGGACTTTGGAGTTAGACCTACATACGGATGTCAACTCTTTGTCAGGAGATCTCGAATAAGTGATTCAGGCTCAGTTTAGTCATCTGTAACACTGGAATAATAATTCTAGCCTTTTAATTTTTTGTGAGGATTAATTGAAAGAATGTAATTTGTAAACAGTTAACAATGGGGTTATTATTAATGATAAAATCAATCACAAGGAGTTGGACTGTGTCCCTGAAAGCCAGCTACTCATGGGGGACGGAACTGTGAATTCAGCCCACGTCCTGCCTCTACATACATGGGTTGAGTCCCAAACAGCAGTGGCCCCAGCCCATCTTTCTGATCCTTGAGTGGTAGCTGCAGCTCCAGAGTCTCTTAAGAGCTCCCTCTGGATATATATGTGTATATATATGTATTTTTTTTTTTTTCCAAGACAGAGTTTTGCTCTTGTTTCCCAGGCTGGAGTGCAATGGCACAATCTCAGCTCACTGTAACCTCTGCCTCCTGGGTTCAAGTGATTTTCCTGCCTCAGCCTCCCGAGTAGCTGGGATTACAGGCACCTGCTACCACACCCGGCTAATTTTTTGTCTGTGTGTTTTTAGTAGAGACAAGTTTTCGCCATGTTGGCCAGGCTGGTCTTGAACTCCTGACCTCAGGTGATCCGCCAGCCTCGGCCTCCCAAAGTGCTGGGATTATAGATGTGAGCCACCATGCCTGGCCTTGATATTTGAGACTGTTAGGACTCTGACTTCTTTTTTTTTTTTTTTTTTTTTTTTTTAGTCAGAGTCTCGCTCTGTCTCCCAGGCTGGAGTGCAGTGGTGCGATCTCGGCTCACTGCAACCTCCACCTCCTGGGTTCAAGCGATTCTCCTGCCTCAGCCTCCCGAATAGCTGGGATTACAATCACTGCCATCATGCCCGGCTAATTTTTATATTTTTAGCAGAGACCAGGTTTCACTATGTTGTCCAGGTTGGTCTCAAACTCCTGACCTTGGTTGATCCACCTGCCTCAGCCTCCCAAAGGGCTGGGATTACAGGCACCCAGCCAGGATGCTGACTTTTATTAACAGAGACCAGGAAAAGAAAAAGATAGGCAGAGGTCTTGGTTTTGTTTGTTTGTTTTTTTCATTTTGTATTGATTTTTTTTTTTAAGACTTCAATTCATAGTACATTATCCAAATAATTTACTGTCAGACCAATTTCTTGGTTCCTCCCTCCATCATTCCCAGTTCCTGTTCTTCATAGGCAAACACACAGGTATGTTTGATATGCATTCTTAAATGAATGTGTATT